CACTATTAGTGGACAGTGTTGTCCTCCTACTGCTGGCTTTACTCTTACAAAGATCAGTAATAATAAATCTGTCTTGTTTGGTGGAGGAGTGACTAATGATAAAGGATATGCTATACCTGTTAATAATGTCTATACATGTCAACTTGAGTCTGATACTACAATAGTAAGTCACTTTAATAATTAATGAATTAGTATATCAACATACAATGTACTGTACAAGATGATTTATTGGTAAGGAATTAATGTTGGTGATTGACAATTAAATTGTCAATATAAAATCCACCATTTTGTTTTAATCTCAGCATATTTAATGACATGTTGGCACAAAAATGCTAATATAAAATTGCTCAAGTTAATATTTTGGCAATGATTTGGCTTATCATTGCAGTAAGTTCGAAGGTCACCATTGGTTTATATCTTATACCAGTGACACTACATTTGCATGTGCAAATTTTATTCATTGTCCATATATTATATAGTTGTGGTATTTTTATAGCTATATCTATGGGTTTCTAATTAATACCCTCATCTCATGTGTTAATCATACATACATGCACATGAACATTTAATTAACAATAATTAATGCCTATACAGTATAACAATGTGTTAATTTTTTTATAGCACTGGGAGAGTGTTAAGGGACCAGTAGTACCTGCTAGTGTACAGTGGCCTGTGGGGAGACAAGCTCATGCTATTACTAGTATCATCAGTAACTCACCTACACTAGTAATGATAGGTGGAGAGGGTCAGAATGATCAACTAGTAAATGATAGTTGGTTACTTGATACCAGTCAGTACCAGTGGAGTAAGGTATGTAATGTCAGTATGTGAGTATCAGTGTATAGTAACGTGTTATATCACTTATTACTAGTCATTGTATTGTTATGTTATATCATATCAACAGATTGTTCTACCTGAATCTGTTACTAGTAGAAAGTCTCATTCCTTATCATCAATAATGATGAGTCCAGACTGTGTATGGTTGGTGGTAGTGGGTGGAGGGGGAGCAACTCAATGGAGAATTGTAGGAAGAGGAGTAGAGAAATCATTTAGTCCATTTATCACTGATCCTAATATCACAATGTTAATAGAACTAGGTAAGAACTGAATTATATGTACACATTATTATAATATTGATGCTGTACGTGTACATGTATTTTCTCACCTCTTCTTCCTTACTTTTTAGATGTACTGTACATGTACCTTTCAATATTTTTCTGACCTTTATCTATTCCTCTCTCTCTCTCTCTCTCTCTCTCTCTCTCAGTTCTCACTAAAGGTCAATGGACAGTAAGTGAAGTACTAGATTCTACTGATCTTACTAAAGAGGCCTATCAACACAAATATCAATCATTCCTTAAAACAAGACAATGGTGGCAAGATCGTTGTTCTATAGTCTATCCAACAGAAAAGGAAGTACAACAGCAGCAGTACATACAAGTACTGCAACACGAGTTAAGAGTATTTGAAGTAAATAAAACCTCACTGCAGGAAGCACTCCTTGAGGCTAGTCAGCAAGGTATAGTCCTCTACTGTGTGTGTGTGTTTATTATTTTGTGATTTTGTCAATAAACTTTACATTAACAAGTGATAATCTCACACACTTAATTAGTAATGACACATTATGACATGATTGTTAATTGTTGTTAATAGTGTATATGTGTATTGGTTAGGTGATG